TCGGGCCACGAAAAGGAGATGGTGTTTTTTTCCACTACCCCATTCTCACGTGGGGTGTAAGAGCATGAACTCGATGGAAAATGCATTTTTCGACCAGGAATGAGGTAAGGAGTTGGTTAAAAAACTCTAACCCATTATCTATTTTGAGGATTTTGACTGTCTTGTGAAATTGGATTTCGATCATGGCTATGAAATGCTTGAGAATTTATGAGGCTTTTATTTTTGTTTTGATGAGATCTATCTAGGTGGCCCGGGAGAAGTCATCCACAATAGTGACAAAATATCATGAACTCCGCTTTTCTTTAGACCCGATAGGGTCCCCAAACATCACAACAGACTAAGTCAAAGACATCGGAGGTAGAAAAATACTTTTATTAAAGGATAAATATTTTTATCTTGCCATACTTCACATATTGAAGGTTTAGGTTATTTTTTTTAGGAATATAAGGGAACAAAGATTGCATCCCGGAGTGTGACAAGTGATCAAGGAGATGATGCCATAATTGTTGGGAGGTGGTAATAGAGTTAATGGGTGCAGTAGAAGTGGTGAGTGCTCTTGAAAGGGATTGGATGCTATACGGATCCTCAATTCGCTTTCTAATCCCCAAATCTTCTTCAATACAAGGTCCAACACCAAACGATAATCAAAAGAAACATAGACCACATAGTTTAGATCACTACTTAGTTTACTTATAGATATCAAATTATATTTAAAGTTGGGTACACATAGAACATTTTTGAGTAATATTGCATCGTTCGATCATATGGTGCTAATATGGGTGATATTAGCCTAAGTTTCATTAGGTAGATTAACTTGGGGTATATGGGTAAATAGTCTAATAGATGTGAACATATTGGGATTTAGACGGATATGATCGATGGAGCCACTATCCAAAATCCAACTAAGAGATATAGTGTCTTATGAATGAGCGAGAGAGTAAACAATATGAGTATTTACCTATTGTGGTTTTGTTTGGTGTTTTATCTCCCGATGTTTTTAGTTGAGATAATAGCTATTGAAGTTGGCTCTGGTTGATTCCAATGGTGGCCAAATTAGCAGTATGTGTGGTCGCACTTGTTGGATTGGTAGGATTCGACTTGCCGCCTCCGTATAATTTATGTCCAAGAGGTATCCCACTAATTTGTAACATTCCTCTTTTATATGTCTAGGAATGTTACAATGCTCGTATTTCACCTATCTTTGGTTGTTGTATTTGGCCTCATTTTTACTGCTATTCGATTGTAATTGGTTAAAAATGTTGAACTCTTCATGATAGAAGAAAGTGCAACTCGTCTCTGTTTTTCATCTTGAATCAACATGTTATATATTTGTGTAATCGAAGGCAAGGGTTCCATCAATAAGATTTGACCTTGGATAGCCGAATAATTGTCATTTAGGCCCATTAGCATATGCGTAGCTTTCCGCATCTGTTGGGATTTTTCAAATGCTTTTGATGCCTCACGAGTGCATTTGGTGATGTTACAAGTACAAGTTGGGAAAATGGTAAAGGAATTCAATTCATCCCACAATCTCTTCAATTTGGTGTAGTAATCGGATATGGTGGTCGCTCCTTGATTGAGGGAACATATCTCTTGCTACACGCTAAAGATTTTGGGTCCATTTTTCCCATAATACATGTCGCTTAGATATGCCCAAATCCGTGCAATCGTCTCGCGTACACAACGCCATCTCGTGATGTCCTTGCTTATTATATTAATAAGCCGAGCAAGGACCATATAATTGCATCGATCCGTAGTGAATCATCCAAGTGGCCTCTTGTAAGTTCTAGTCACAAAACCAAGTTTGTTCTTGGTCGACAATGCAATCATCATTGATCTCCTTCATAGGCTATAATTCTCTAATCCCTTTAGAACTTGGTTGACCAACATGATTCTAAGACTCGTCCGTATGGTGTAAGCAAAAGGGGTTGCCATATGGATTTGATGGAACCATCAATTGTCCTTTGTTAGATCCTTTGTTGGAACTTTCTTCTTTTGTTTCTTCCATTGTGCAAGGAAATGGAAAACAAGAGAAAGATCAAGAAACCTACTATGATACCATGATAGATGACAAAGGAGGAACTATAAATCGTATTATTCCTTATTATATCTTTTGATTACAAAAAGTGTATCTTAAATACAAGGAAAAAGGTTTAACATTTGTGTTTGTATCTTACATAAATTAGGAAAGTCAACTATATCTCATTGAAAATGGTAAACTCTCCTAATTAAGGTGTTAATATAGGAAAACAATTATGATAAAGACATATCAAATCGTATCACTATGTATGCATTTTGTATGTTTAGTGTTTTTGTGTGTGTAGATTGTTGCAAGTGCAAGCTAGTTTGTCTATCTAGCTCGTTGTCTTCAACGAGTGAAGGTCAATAGTCCTAGAGGGTGGTGTAGTACGAGGCAAACGTGTCATGACGTAGCTAAGAGGATTCGGACAACGAGTTGTTCGGATGATTTTAAATTGGTCCTATTGTTCTATTCCTATGTCAAGTTAGGTCCCTATATATTTGATTTTATTTCGATTATACTATTTAAGCATGTCATTGTAGTCCTTGTGCTTTTAATGTTTTTTTAATTGGGTCCTTGTATCTTTAAATTTCAATTTCATTATGTTGAATTGTTTTAATTATGTCCTTAATTGCCTCCAATTGCATTTATCTTTCATTTAATTGCACCGTTGGACTAAAAATCGAAAATACAGCTACATAAAAGGATAAAATAAAATAAGTAAATAAATAAAAAGTAAAAAAAAATGAAAATAAAGATTGAAAAATCGGTTAATCGGAACATTTGATTTTTTTTCTTACAAAATAAAAATGTAAAGTTCTAAAATTAAACTTATAAACTAGAATAGAATATGAAAATAACGGAAAAACTACTAACAACAAATATAACTCAAATTTTAAATTATGACAATTGATATAGGGATCCTATAGTGATACAAGTTATGTGTAACTTGTGAGTACCGATTAGATTTTGACCTACATGATAAAAACAATATTCTAACATATACGGATGGATTTTAGGTTAAGTTTGCTTTTTTCGTTTTAATGCAAGGATTATCTTTCAAATTAATTTTTTATACTGCAAATTGAGATAACTTTTGGGACTTGAATGCAAAATATTTTTTATATAAGGACTTAAATGTAAATTTTTATAAAATACAAGAACATAAAACTTCCATATAAAGATTGATTTGTTAATCAAAATAAAATACATGAACTACAATAATTTTTTTGGAAATTACATAGAATAAACTTTGTCAGGTCCTCGTTACCAATTTTTAGAAAAGCCTCGTACGTTACTAAAATTTACATTTTTTTTAAATAATATTACGCATTTGATTACATAACATTATTTCATATCATACCTAATATACTGAAAATGTTTAAATATTATACCAATCAAACATCTTTCGATGAATCGCATTAAATGCCCGTATAAATTAATCATCTGACCATGGACTTAATAACTTTCAACGTTCAATTTATGGTGAAAACATATTGTTATATAAATCATTAAGGGCATTTCGGTTAGAAGTATTTCGATCAAAAAAAATTATTCATTATCAAAAAAATTAATTAAAATAAAAAATTTAAATATTATTCAGAGACCTAATATATATAATTAAAAATATATAAATAGATAAAACACTCAAATTATTATATTTATATAAATATAGATGAAGATATTTATCCTAACATTTGATTTGAAATAAGACAAAAAGCAAAGAGATTTTCCCTAATACCATGCCAAAATTATAAATCTTGAGCATCTAAATTAGAAACAAAAAATGATACATAAAGAAAATCAAGAAAGTGACATATAAAGAGGATTCTAAATGTTCTTATTCACAGCTTTCATCCCATCCAAGTTTTTGCATCAAAAAAAAAAAAAAAAAGGCATCTAAATAAGTTCAGAACAAAGAAGAAAAACTTGGGGATGTTACGAGAGTATATATATTGACAATTTTACATCGTGAGAAAATAAACATTGAATTCGGTCGAAAGATGGAAAATTTCTCGGATTCGTTCATGATTTTCCTTATATTTAACCATTATCTCCAATATGTTTATAACTTCTCAAGTAACCTTAAAAATGAATTTATGACCAAATTATCCTTTACCCATTAACTAACACATCCCTGTTCCCAAAAAAATAGCAGTATTTATTTTTCAAACGTTTACAAAGTAATTATTTTATTTTTCATAGAACAAAAATTGCTAACTTTTTGACATTGACCTGGTTAGGTGCTAAAATAAAACCTGTAAATGAACTGGAACATTGATGTTGGTTCATAGGTTTCCAAAATATATAAGCATACAAATCCTTTAACTGGGGTGTGTGCTAGCATTCAAGTTCATAAACAAAATTGATTAGGATTAAGCTATTCTTTTTAAGCTTTTGCCTTTTTCCATCCTTCTCTCTGACCACTCTCAACCAAATACCTAATAGAGTCATAGACACCACACCAATGCTAAAGAAGGTAGGGATATGTCTTTGTAGTGTGACTGGACAGAAAGGACGTGCAAATATGAAGGCCTAAACATCTCAAAGTCATTTTATGGTCTAATGCCAGAAATGAACACCTTTGCATGGTCTTCGACCACTCCAAGTAGATCTTACACCCTATTTTGCGGATAGAGCAACAACCCAGTTTCCAAAAATTCTTCCAGTAATAAGATATACTTTCAGGTTAATCTGAATCCATCATGTGGTAAATTACATGTGATTTCAAAGAAATGTCACCACACAATTAGGCGGAGCCAAACTATGAGAGTCCAATTTTTGGGTTCAAGCCAAAAGTTCTAATAATATGTGATCTCATAGAAATGTTATGAAGACGATTTAAATACCGAAACAGAAGAACATTTTAGCTAGCATGACTTGAGCTAATAGATGAACTACAGGATTTCCAGTTTTTCTTAGATTCTTAATTACATGTAGCTCCATTTATGTCCCATGAGCTATACAGGCGCTCAAGCCCCTAAATAACCAGAATTAGGCCAGGCAATGAGCGGTTGAATAGGTCTCTGGGGTGGCTCTGCCACGAGGTATAGTTCTCATGCCTAATTTCCCAACCATGTGGGCTAATATCTTTCACGGTGAGCCAAGTGTTGAAGTACTCTCTAAATTGTGTGATCACACCATGTTTCAAGGTCCATACATGCACCCAGTAAGCTTGTGCACCTTCCCAGCCCTCCACAATCACACAATCACCAATGACATCTATGCTTCTTGGTTCAAACCTAAACTTGGTGTGGCTCGACTCCCCGGTGAGAATTCTCATCATGTGTTGGGATTGTAGAGGTCCATGGAACCACCATTCTAGGTCACTTGCTATGAGTTTGGCCACCGTCTCCATGTGGCCATTTGATAATCCCTTGTATAGTGCATCAACAATGGCCTTGTTCTGCATGTCTACATGCAAATCGGAAACTGGCATAGCGTATTCGATGGGATTGGCGGACGTTTTGCTTTTGTTTTTTTTCAAAGGTAATTTAGTAAACGAAGAAGGAAGGTCTCTAATGAACTTAGAACTGAACTCCAACGTTATGATGCATGGTACTTATTTATAGCAAGATTTTGGAGAGTTAAGTGAGGGAAGGACTGCGAAAATTTACGAGGCACCGGTGGTGGAGATAGGCTATTTTGATGACATGAGAGATTCAATGGTCAATGTTCGCTCCAAAGAGTTTGATGCATTTATTGCCGAACTAATGTTTTGATCCAAATATATGAACCAATCAATAATACAAACTAAGATTTCTTCTGGGAACAAAGCTATGTGTTTGGTATAAGATTAATATATACCTTCACCGGATAGACACAAAATCTGAATCATCAATTTCCTGAGAATGACTAATCTACCCTAGAAAAGTTTTGTCACATCAAAAATCAATATTGAATATTTCTTGTTTGCTCCATTGTTTTTCTATGAATGATCTTGTGCAACGAAATGACTCATCCTATAGTATGATGTTTGGTTATTTCTGTGTCTCTTTCTTCTAGTTTTTCTTGGTTTTATGCCCCGCAAATGCAGAAAAGAGAAAAGCAATTTAAATTTAAATTTCGAAAAGAATGAATGGGATATTCTAATATTATCCCTTTATCCCTTTTTATGCTATGCGGCTTTCTTCCCAATTGCATATAAAAGTGAGAATAATAAGGCCATCAAGTTGATCTTCTGTAACTATGCGTTAGATTTCCAAGACTCTTGGAATTCTCCGAGAATCGAAGAGGCCAGGTGCAGAAAGATAAAATAAATTATGAAGCGAAGATAGATTCTCCTCCTACTTTTTTTTTTTTAGTCATGTATTGTTTTTGTTTGATTATTCATATATAATAAATTATTGAAGGATTATTGTGTTTAAAAAATCTTCAAATTATAATTGTTATTTCTATTAACGGGATTATTTTTTTAAAAGATTAAGAAATGTATTTTATATTTTATATGTTAAATGAAAGGATGAACCTAAGATTTTAATTTATATGAAGTTTTGTTGCAAATGTTATTTCTTTTAGACAATAAAGGACACGAGGTTAAGTGGCTCGTATTCATATCACTTCGAATATAAGGTATTGTCGATAATATTCTCGACTTCCTTTAGGTCTTACGTCGGGGATGTTACAGTGGTGGTATTAGAGCAAGGTTTTAGTGGCTTGACTTAGGAGATCGAACAAGTACACGCAAATTAGGCTTCGACAACAAGAAGTATGTAAGTTTGCTTGAATCTGAATTTTATTCATTGCTTAGTAAGTATGATTGATGTGTGCACTATATGCTTGTTTTTGCTTATTTGATTGAATTATATTGATGCAATTAGTGTTGGCCAAAACATGTGTTTGAATGTTGATGTGCATGGTATGTTGTTGGATATGTGAACTAAAAACAACTTGCCTTCGAAAAGAAATAACAATAATGCGAAGACAAATAGGAGGGCCGCCAATCAAGGAGAGAATAACGAGTTTATGAGCAACAAGATGTTCGCTGAACAAGTGTTTGGGCTACTATGACAGCAGCAAAAGATGATGCGATAACAACAATAAAGGCATGACGAGCAAATAAGGGTATTGATGAATACGCAACGAAGAACAAGAGGTAGCATGGCCATCATAATGGGCTGATATGGTTGAGCAATTTTAGAAGTTAAATCCCAAAGAATTTTAGGACAAACAAGATCCCTTAGTAGCTAAAGAGTGGGCCATGATCGATGCGAAAATCAAGAAAACCGTGAGGTTCACCTTGACTCAAGAAAGCATAAAAAACTTAGACTATAATCCTCAATCATCAATATCACTTCAAATATAATTTCAATTAACATTATCCCAACTTAATAGACATTACTTACAACTTTAATATAATTCATAATTCAATACTATCCTTACATTTCTCAAATCAATATTCGTAATTAATCTCTAACACAACATCCACAAGCTATAATCGCAGAGCTTCTAACAATACAATAAAATAAAACATAAGTTCTAAGAATATACAAGAAAATAAGCCGCAACAATCATTGTGCCGACTGCAAGACAAGCGACCAAAAGGAAGCAAAAAGTAATCCCTCAATATCGTGTAAAATTGAAATAATAAGGGGTGAGCAATAACCGACCAAGTGAGTAGATACTATACAACACATCTAAAGAAGGGAAACGAACTAAGGATGATAATTTAAAATTTAACTCAACATGTCATACTAGTTTCTTCAAAATAATACACATCGTAAAACCAAATCGTACACCACAAATTAAATAGTTCAAACCCATTTCATCTCAAATTATTGAATCATAATCATATCAAAACACATATCTAAGTTTTTATTTATCTATGGGGTGAAAACGTATCATTGGAGGCAAGCACCCAAAGGTCATGTCCCTCATGACTAGGTTTTCGTATATTGGCTAACACATGGGTTAGCACTCTACTCTCTTACTAGCTGGAGCCTTATATCTTTGACCTCAAATGCTACGCCTCCCATAGCTAGGTTCTCATAAACATTTCAAACTATATATACTTATATTCCAAAACCAATATTTCAAACATAATGCATGCTCCAAATTAATTTGATAATACAATTTCATATCAAATATGCATTTACAAAATTATAAAGGTAGTTAAAAAAAAACCATCAAACATAAAATAAAATTTAAATCCATAATCGTTTATCAAATCATAACAAACACTTATTCAAACACATATTCAAATCTCTTTTTAAATCACATCAAATCATTTTGTATGCAAAACCATTTCAAATGCTCATTGAGTTTGCTCCCAATAAAGTTCTAATGGATGCGTTTAAATTGTAATTAAACTAATTATGCATGATAAAATTATCAAAGGAATTCAAAAACATAAGAAGCTATATAATATTCACTCACAAGTATAATGAAGAATCAAACAAAGTCAATATTATTGAGATGGAGTTGCTCATTTTGAGGAATCTAATAACACATAATGATGGAACAACCATCAATATCATATATCAAAGAATAATTCAAAACAATTGAATTATTCTAAAATTAGGAATACAAAATTTAATCATATCAATAAATTGAATTAGATTCTACAATCTCTCCAATAATCCCAAACAATTGCCTAACCATTTCCCATTATCAATTCTCAATTCAATCCTCTAAACAATCAATTTTCAATTAAATGATTAATTCTATTCTAATTCACTCAATAATCAATTCATTCATCTTCAATTGTATTTATATAGCTTAATTTCTCATTTTCCCCAAATTCCTATTAAAACCTAAATTTTATATTTTTCATTATTCAACATCTCCTCTCAATTAATCAAATCTACTCCATTCCACCTTAAATTAACTTCTAAACTACTTACCCAAGATAATTACATATCATTCAAACACTTAGAATCACTTAATCGAGCTTTTCCCAAAATAGTTCTAAAAAACCCTAACCTTAATCTAATCAATTCTTCAAGCAAACCATAACCCAATCTAATTCCATTTCAATATTATCATTAACTATATATAAACATCATAATTCAAAGATCAATTGATCAAAAATCTTACCTTTGACACTTTGCTCATCAATCTCTAATTTCTTCCTAGTTCTTCTAGCTTTCCAAGCTCTAATCTAGCCAATCTCCACTTAAATCTATGTATTTTAGATTTTTCTAAGCTAATTTAATAATAAATTAACTTATTATTAAAGGAGAGAATTATGAGAAATTTTGGAGAGAAAATGACGTGAGAGAGGAGAGGAGAAGAAGAATGAAAATTCTAGAAAAAGTGACAAGCATCGCTCCTACTTCTACTAGCTTGAATTTTTTTAACTTAAATATTATTTTAGGGTAGGTTATTATAGAAAGGCTACACAAAGGGTTCCAAAAAGGGTCTATATGGTGATGTAGGAACAAGCAAAAGAAGCATGCCACAATCATATACGGTAATGTTCTAATCCTAAATCTTACTATATATACTTTCATTGATTTAGGTGCTATAATATCATGGTATTTATTAAGAAAATTATAAGTAATACCAATGGTACTTGACATTTTATATGAAGTGGTTGTTCTATTAAAGGAGTCGTTAGAGTCTAGAAATATGGCTAGGAAACGTGAGATTCGGAGTGGTGGTGATGTGTTGAAAGTTGATTTAGTAGCATTAAAGATTCAAGATTTTGATGTAATTTTGGACATGGATTGCTTATCAAAAAATAGAGCATTGATTCATTGTTTAGCAAGAAAGTAGTGTTTCACCAATCAAAAGAGCAACCATTTGAGTTATGAGCCAAAACTAAGGTGAAGCCGATAAACATTGTTTCGATAATAACATCTTTGAAGATTATTCAAAGCTAATGTATGAGTTATTTGGTGAGTGTGATAACTACTACTAGGGAAGGGTTTGCAAAATTAGAGGATTTTAAGGTAGTGAGAGATTCCCTAAATGCCTTTCTCGAAAGTTTATTAGGAATACCACTAAAAAGAGAGATTGAGTTTGAGATTGAACTTGAACTAAGAACGACACCAATATTAAAGGCACCAAATAGGATGGCTCTAGTAGAGTTAAAGGAGTTGAAGACTCAACTACGGGACTTGCTAGACAAATGTTATATCCAGCCCAATTTGGTCACCGTAGGGATGATGGAAACCATGGAGCTAAATGGACCAACAAGGTGGTGTCTCCAAGGGAGATCTAAGATGGCAACTTTACAAGTCCAAGATCTAATCCATTATGCATTAAAAAAGATCCAACAATGCGAGCTAGGGCTAAGAAGCTTAAAGAAGCTCTCAATAGGCTGATTTAAGAGTGTTTGGTAAAATGCACTTCCAAGGGCCCAAAGGAGCAATGTGGCATCATCATAAGAGAGAAGGGGATCCAATACTTCTCAATCTATTCTAAGTCTACGATTGGACTTCTTAAATCATATTGGGCCTATTTTATTACAACTAGCTTCATTATAATTAGAACTAA